ATCAAGCTCATGCTTGTTCGTTCCAATCTTTAGCTTACTGATGTTTTCACCAAGCCGTTACCTTCAACTCTATTGTTTTCTCATTTATCCAAGATGGGTGTGAAAGTATTTACTGTCCATCTTGAGGGGGAGTTTTAAGAATACTTAAGTTTATTAGTTTTATAGTTTAAGTTTCTGATCTAGCTTATAACATAAGCTTCTACTTTTGTATACATATTGGGTTGTACCCTTTTATTGTTTTTTTAATGAGAATACAATATTTTTCTCTCTCTTCCTTCGTAATAAATAAACATAAACATCTACCACAAAATAAAACGAAAAAGAAAACAGAGAGCACCAATGGTGACTAGTCGATCTCCTCAGTTGTTAAGACCAACTACAACATTGCTTCTGTTGTTGAGCAAAACTCATGCCCACGCTCCCCACTCCGAGCTCTGCCATGAAGCCAAACCAAAGAACTGCAACCTCATAAAGGACGCAAGAATCTCTATCTCAGAACAGGGAATCTAACGCCAGCCAATCGACAACGTCCGATTTTGGCCTTAAAAAACCCAAATTTTCAAACAAATCCTAACCCAGAATGAGAGAGAGAGAGAGAGAGAAGAAAGGGAGAGGAAGCCTCTTGGAGAGAGGTATTGAATGTTTATTATTCAATTTTTTAATGTTTAAAATAATAATTGAACAAGATAATGAGGGAGATTATGGTATTATCAAAATTTTAATCGATTTAGGGAACATTTTGTGGTTGATTTTACAGACACTAGGATACTTCACCTTTGCATCCTAAGCGGGGTAAAAATGCTATTTTGACTGAATACATAGGGTGTTTTTGATATTTTCTTAGGAGTTGATTATTTTTGTACAAGTATAAATGAAAAGCTTTTTCTATAAAGTAGTAAACAAAGAAGTAAGGACGAATTTTGTTTATGCTTCGAATAATTATGACATGGTAGTTTTGTAAATGGCCTCGAGCATTTTGCAAGGGGTACTTGTGATCATATAGCGTAAATAGCATTCTGTCACATCTAGAATTTTATTTCAGTGGAACCATACATAAAACAAATAAATAATGTACTAGAATATAAAAAGATACGTTTCTTAATATAACTAATCACCTGCAATCTCACCAAGGATACCGGAATCTCTATCTCTAGGACTGGAAATTTGACGGATTTAGCCCTAAAAACCTTTCTAACAAATCCTAACCCACAAGGGGAGAAGAGAGAGGAAGAGGAAGCATCCTGGAGAGAGATATTGAACGTTTGTTATTCAATTATCCAATGTTTAAAATAATAATTAAACAGAATAATGAGGGAAATTGAGGTATTATCACAAATTTAATCGGTTTAGGGAATATTTTGTGGCTGATTATACAGACACTGGGATACTTCATGCATTTCCATAGTAAGTGGGTAAAAATGTTATTTTGACTAAATACAAGGAATATTTTGGGTATTTTCTTTTTAAAAAGTGGACTTTTTGCAAGTGTTACAATCAGTTATTTTTCAAAAAAAAAAAAATCCCATGATATATGATATAGTGTTCTCATCTCAATGGTTTCATGATTTTGATTAGGATCTAAACAAGCATTTGAAACTCTAAAGTTTAATTAGTGCAAAATAAGTTTCTACAAAAAAAAAAGGTAATAAAAATTAAGTATAGGATGCAAGGAAAAATATGGAAAACAATGAAAATGTTTTTCATTTTTATGTTTGTTTTTCACCCACAATGAACAGAGTTAGTAATATGTCAAGTCGTATATGCATGCAGAACATATCCAAATGCAATGCAATTACCAAGAGCAATATTGTTATAAGTAACGTGTTATTTCTTATTATTATTTTTTACGGAAATAGTAGAAAATATGCCAATATGAAAAGCTTAATAAAGTATATAGGCCAATTTTTAGTTATAGAAATTAATAGGCCATAACTTGTCAAGTTATGGTTCATACCCAGATAAGTTATGGACAAACTTGTCAAGTTATGGTTCATAGTCAGACTAGTTATGGATAAAAATCGTGAATTATGGACAATAAGTTATCAAGTTATGGTTCATAACTAGACAAGTTATGGACAAAACAGTAATTTGGCCTATTTATTAACTTATGTAAACTATTGGCCTATTAATTTTAATTCATCTCAAGTTTTGGCCTATTTCTCTCTTTCTCCCTATTTTTTTTTGATAGCGGTTCTAGTTAATCCCGTTGCACTAGTTATTTTTTTTTTAATTTAATTTAGTTTCTTTTTATTTTCCTTTCTTTGAGAATTCGTTGTTGTTGATTTTGAACCATACTTTAGTGATTAATTAGTATATATGGTAATTACCTGTTAGGGCAAAGACTACTCTTTTAGTTTCACGGAGATAGAGTTGTGATTACAATGTGTGGAATGAGAGGGAAAACAAAGAGAATTTTTAAAGTGAAAAAATAATTTTGCTCTATCAATGAGAAGTACTGTTATTTTTAATTATTAAATTAATTTTTTAACTGTCAGATTTATACATGTTCATATAAAAAATTTAAAGTGTGCGACACAGAATTGTTCTTTTTGTTAAAAAATGAATTAAATGATTAATTTTGTTTTTATCAGCAAAGCAAAATAGCCTTCTCTACCATAAATTATAAAAAAAAAAAAAAAAAAAAAAAAAAAAAAAAAAAACAGAAAACGTGAATCATGCTTTTGAGATTGAAATGTGTTGTGGTGCACGTCTTTAACTATGGCCCCAGATATTGAAGCTACTTATATGTCGAATTTTCAATCATATATGTTATATATAATACTACCGCAAAAATTAATTTCTAATTATAGAAAAAAACATAAAGTAATTTATGTGGTGGCTGATTTTTTTGTATTAAAATTTATCACGATCAAGATGGTCCAAACTTTATTACACTCAACAAGGACTCCATTCATGAAGTCAATTATTCTTTATAGCTTTCTCACTTTCAATATATGTGTGTATACATGTGTGTTAACAAAACTCTTCTAAATATATACATCCATATATATAAATATATATATATATATGTATAGAAAAGCACAACGCTTAAAATGTGGTGAAATGTAGTGTACCTAGGTTAACCGATTGTACGTTCTATATAACAACAAAGATACGATATATATCACCATATTAATAGAAGATATATACATACATACACACATAGATAAAATATTTTTCACATATACACACATATAAAGACACGTTTACAAGTAAATTAGTAAATTGACATTTTACACCATATTATAGGGGATAACTGAATAGTGGTTGAGGAATAAATAAAAATTAATGATTAATTTTTCCGGAATGATTTAAGAGCATTTTTCTAAGCTCACGGCTTTTTTGTGCCCCATAGTCTGAGATTATAATCCAATTTTCATAAAATATCGTTTTCATTTTGCAAGGATAGGATAAAAAAGTCCACCAAATAATTGAGCTTTAAAAACGTTTTTTTTAATTTAAGTCTTACATGTCCAAAACAATGTTTTTGCATTTAAAAAATATTTTCATATTCTTAAACTAATTTCTCATTAAAAGTGTCAAATTTGGCCCTTTCTTCGGAGCTTTGGGTTCAAATTTCATGGAGTTGAAATTCTTCAATGTCAACAAGATAGTCTTAAACTTTCTCATTGTAATTATTCTATTCGTATTGTTATTTTTCTGCAAATATTATAACTAAGGAATTAGTAAGACTAATTTATAATTTAGATTGGTGAAGTACTACAAGAGTTATTAAAAATATGAGACAAAGTGGGAAGCAGTGTAAAGTTTAGGGGCCTCGATTAGTACTGGTTGTTGATCTCTAGAAACTGATTAGCTCTATATCCCTCGCTAACCTGAACTAAGAACACTTGGAGTAGGAGATTCACTCATTAAATATCTATGTTTATAAAAAAAACCTCTAATAATTAACATCTTAAATATATCATATCATGAATTGTATCTATTAATGTTTTGCATTTTCGCTGGACGCACCGACGTTAAAATCTATTTGAAATATTGCCGAGCAAAAGAATAATTTGTATTTTTCTAAAGGAAAGGGAAAAAAAACACGCAATAGAATAATTTACTATGTGAAAGAATAAGGTAGACCAAAACCCATCACAAAAACATTTTGCGGTATTATATATATGAAAGCACTCTTATGATTTAATTGTGATGTCGACATTTCAGGTCCATGCTTTCTCTTCTACATATAATTTAGACTTTTTTTTTTTTTTTTTTTTTTTGTGGCTTAAATTCTACGTAAGATAGGTAAGTTCCTATAATAATTGTGTACATTGTGCACTAGCCTGATTACGATGAAGAATGTACAACGTTGGTAGTTGAAATGTGAGGGTAGCTATCATGGGCCACTCCTATACATGGACACATGTGAGGGTAGCTATCATGGGCCACTCCTATACATGGACACATGTGAGGGTAGCTATCATGGGCCACTCCTATACATGAATACATGAATGAATAGAAAAAATGGAAAATTTATAGCATGAATTTAGAAATTTACTCTTTATTTTTAATAAATTTCTTTTTATTAGTATAATTATTTGACTAAAAAGGTTATGAATCAAGAGTAAATGGTAAAAATTTTGACCCATGCACTTTCAAAGGGTATTTGTCAAAGTTACCCTATATGAATACCATATAAGATATTTGAGCAATTTTTAAACATACCCTTTTTAATTGAGCCCTCTTTTCCTTCTATCTCTTTAACATTAGTCCATATATTTCTACTTTTTGAACTAGAACTAGTCAAGAGGTAAACTTTTTTAAAAGGGATACTTTTAATAAGTTAAGTATTCAAAAAAATAGAATATGTAATTTTCTTTAAGATTTATTTCTCTATTTAAAAAGTTATATAATGGTAAATGAATGAAACTCCTCACATACATATATACAGCCAGCCAGCCATATATATAAGTATAACAAACCTCTTCGCCTTGTATCACTGAACCTATTGGCTAGTACTACCCAAAAGAAAAGCAAAAAAAAAAAAAAAAATGGCATTATCACCATGCTCATCTCTAACAATTAAGGTGGACCGGTATGAGCCAGTGCTTGTTAAACCCTCAAAACCAACACCTAAAGAGATAAAACTATTATCAGATATAGATGATCAAGAAGGGCTGAGATTTCATGTTCCTGTGATATTCTTTTACAAGAATAATAACAACCCTTCAGTGAAATTAGGGCAAGACCCCAACAGGGTCATTAGGGAAGCACTAGGTAGAGCTCTAGTGTACTACTACCCGTTTGCCGGAAGGCTTAGGGAAGGTTCCAACGGGAAGCTCATGGTGGATTGCACCGGTGAAGGGGTCTTGTTCGTGGCGGCTAAGGCGGATGTCGGGTTCGATCAACTCGGAGATGCAATCCGACCACCATCTCCATTCCTAGATCAGTTCTTGTATAATGTTCCTGGATCGGATGGTATTCTTGGCTGTCCATTGTTGTTGATTCAGGTAACTTTTTTCTTTTCTTTTTTTTTTTTTTCAAAAAATCAAATTTCTGACTTTTACGGGCTGTTTGGTAATGTTTTGAAAATGATTTTATTTTCAGTACAAAATAAAAATGAGATTGTTTTAGAATCAGTATGAGACTAATTCTGAAATTGCATTTGGTTAGTTTTTTAAGAGATTATTTTGAATATAATAAAAAAGTGAAATTGTATTTGATTACAATTATTAATTAACATTGTTGATAAGTACTAGAAAATAAAAATAAAAAAGAGAAAATAACTTTCAACTGTTTTTTAATTCATTCACAAAAACCATTCTCACTGTTTTTTATTTTCATTTTCATTTTCAAAACAATTGCTAAACAAACACGATTTATAAACCATTTTCATTTCTGTACCTCAAAGACGTGCAAAAACATTTTTAAAAATAATCAAAATCAATTCTAAACACACCTTTAGTTTGAGGGCCCACGAAAATTAAGTGCCAAGTATATGCCATGAAAATACCCAAAATATTCCTTTAGTTTGCAAGTTGCATATTTTTTGCAAGTTAGTGTATGATAGAGTAAACGATAAGATGTTTCAGTGATCTAGTTAAACTTTTTTTTTCCTGGCCATGAAAATAAGATGCATATTTTTTGAATTGAAATTGGCCTTTATCTGGGCATATGCATAAAAATGCGCGGGTTTTTTTAATTGAAAATGCTAGCATTTGGTGAAAATAATTTCAAGTACTTCAAGTTTGTCCGGTACTGTATATTAATGGAGCTTTTAAGGCAAAATCTATTAATGGAGATTTTAAGGTCGAGCATCGGGTACTGTATATTTTTTAATATTGAATTTGATCAAGATTACATGGTAAAGATGTCTTTACTTCTTCTACTGCTAAAATGAGCTCAGAGTTTGATATTGCACATCCCCATTTTTAGAACAATTGATTAGTTAATGCGTCGTACAATGTTATAGTGGCACGAGTGAAACTAATTTCATCATAGGAATGGAATTGATCAAGTCCCTTCTGTTCTATTGGTGAGTTTTGAGATTTCAAAATGATGAAGAAGATAGAAAT